TGCCAAAGATTAATAATTGATATAATGAGAAAAAAGTTATAAATTAATCACACGCTCATTATGTGAGTCAAAATTTCAATCTGCATGCAGTATTGATGATGTGTAAACTAAATATATATTAATTCTAAACACGGCGAATCCTCTACCATGACACCTGATCCCACCTCTGATGGTCTGGAGGTCCGTGTTTGCTCTGCTCCTGTATTTTATTATATACCTAATGTGTATTAAGCAATTTTACTGTAGATTTACGGCAACCATGTGAAGTCATGATCCGACTTTCTGGATCCACTCACTGTGGTTTTCTGAATCCATATCACCACTGATGACGTAGTACGCAAATATATGAAGTTACTTTTCTTGTGCGTAAAAAAGCCCATTGTAGTTCTGCTTTTTTATGGATAAATAATATACCATTGATCCCTTAAGCTTTATTTTGCTATATTTAGTTAGTTATAAGGGGGTATAAAATAAATTTATAACAATAACAGTAACTTGATCCTAAGCGCCGTATCACGCCTCGTTGACAGACAAGTTACTGTCATAATGTTAGTGTTACTAATGATATATATGTATTGTTGTATGGACTTTGATCTTGAATACTGTTGTTTTCTCCGTAAGTTTCATTCTACAAACCTTCTTAACTTCAGCTCTGTGGTCTTCTCCTGCCGACGACCAACAATCCAACGTTCGTCGCAGATGTCTTTGTGACCAACATTGTTATCACGGAGAATATTGCAAAATTGTGTCCTACTTCCCATTTAAGAACGGTTACTGCTGTAGTCGAAATCCCTGTAAGTATCTTTCCATGTCTTTAATGTAAATATAACGATGAATATCTTATTATGTTTGAAGATTCCATAATCATTGTCTATACTTTTGAGATTACTGTTTTGTCAATGCCTATCGATTTCATTGTTATTATTCCTCTGTGCAAAGACTAAGGAGTTTTGCCTATCAATAGTAGCAAGCGTAACATTGCAATATTTACTGAAATATGAAATACAATTAGTCGTGTATTTTACAGATGGTGGTGGTGGTGGAAGATAATATCAGGACAAGAATGGAACAAGGCAGATCACTGGCAACTGACATAATAACTGTATATTTCTAATGAATTATACTTTCAGTGATCAATGTTCAATAAATTCATAATTTTACATCTAATGTAACCTTTTTATCAATAAGATTGTCTATTGCATCCTATACAAATTCTGACAAAAAGACAGCATAAAAAAGATTTCTACTGGATTCAAATTTTTTTAAATACCTCCAGCTCATTATAAGGTTTCTGTTTTTAGTTGCCCGCGTGGCGCAGTGGTTAGAGCGGCTTTTTTAGAGTCGCAAAGTAAGGAGTAAAACAACAAACAATAAAACAACATTGCTCGGCACTAGCTAGTTAGTTATATAATTATACTTAGTTATTTAGACTTTCCAACAAAAACAAAAAAAGGTGAAATATTTTGATATCACTTGTCCCTTTAATCTCAGCGAGATGTCGTAGGGACTTAAAATGTTGTCTAGTATCCCTAGGACATCTCGGCCCAGTGTCACACAATCAGATTCGGGTTTTGTTGCCCAACTTCGACCGCTTGTTTCAATCAATACAGGCTGAAATGAATTAGCTGCCTGATTTAACTTTTTTCGTTTGTACATCCTTTTAAGTCTCTGTCACTATAAAACTTTCGTTTTTTCCATTTAAAAGGTTTAAATCCAACAAAATACAGTTGTTGGTATTTCATAGAAATATCCCTTTCGTTTAAACCTCTGATGCTGAAGAGTTCCAGCAATAGTCTGCTTCAATCACTTCGTTTTACTACTGTTTACTATATCTACTACCATATATATTTGATATCTACTACCATTATATATATATTGGATTCCAAAACTTCAGAAGAATCCTTACAAACAAAGATACGTAGCGGGTTCCAGTAAATATCAATCAAGCCTCATTCTTTACTCCTCTTTAAGATATTAACAGTAGTGAAGCAGAAACTTCATGAGTGTTGTCCAACAATGTATTCAAAAAGTGGTGTAAATCAGATGTGGATACTCAAAAATACCTAATAACTTTTGGACAATTTGAAATCACAAGATTTTACCAAAATTAACATCGTAAAAACTTACGACTTTTCTACTTTATACACAATCATTCCCCACGATAAATTAAAGATCCAGGCTTTTTGATATCATAGACAGTTGCTTTTTCAATAAAAATGGAACTCGTTAATTTACTTGTCATTAGTCATTTGCAATATTATTTTGTAAACAAAAATAATTCTGATTTTACACACAAGTACTCAGAAATTGACATCAAAAAGATGCTTGAGTTTCTGATTGACAATATCTATGTTGTTTTTAGAGACCAGGTCTTCCAATAATCTATTGGAATTCCAAAGGATACCAATTGTGCTTCGTTATGAGCAGACCTATTCTTGTATTCATATGAAGCAGAATGTGTGCAAAATCTTAAATTGCATGAAAAGAAGAAAACACTTTATGTGGCCTTCAACTCGACATTTAGATATATCGACGACGTATTTTCAATTAACAATGGTCATTTCCATTCCTACGTCGATACGATATATACTGGTGAGCTTGAGATAAAAGATATCACAGAGTCTGACACACCTGCTTCATATTTGGATATTTTACTTGATGAAAACGTTAATGGTAATCTAACAACCAAGTTTCATGATAATCGTGATGACATTAAGTTTTCTATCACCTGCATACGGAGTTTTTATATCTCAACTGATTCAATGCGCAAGAGCATGTTCTTCGCATGAACAATATCTAAAACAATTTAAATTGTTTACAAACAAGTTGATGAAATAAAACTTTTAACAGTCTCGTTAAAAGTCATCATTTCGTAAGTTTTAAGTCCGATACAATGACCTTGTCAGCAAATAAAATTTATCATCGAGTCAAATGCTGACCGAAATTTTTCATATAATTGTTTGTTCATTATTTATACACTAACTTGACGCGGATTTTTCTCGATCATGATAAGGTGCACACGGTGGATGTGACCATAATGTATGAAAAATATACAAAACTTTAATTACTTTCTGCTTCTTAACAAGTTTCTAAATGTTTTTAAAAATTAAAAACACTAAAAGTATGATTTTTGCCAAAAAAGTTTTTTTCCCCTAAAGGGTTATATAAGAGATGCCATCCTCTGGTATCTCGCACAAATGCCTGGTAAGGTACTTCAATTTTTTGTTAGTAAACATGTTAAAGCAGTAATTCTTCAAGGACAAAATCTTAAAAAAGAAATGAAAATATTAAAGCATATGTAATATCCAACTCTTGTTGAAATTGTTGGCATTTTTATGAAGAATTGGTATCTCATTGAAAAAATTCTTAATTTGAAAGAATTACCCAGCAAAGCAGGTTAAAACTGAGGTTTGAATTATGCATGTTCTCGATTCTCATTATACCGCGGGTTTCATTTTATTGCTGTATATCGCAAAAATATGGTTATCTAGCCTATATATTTTTTTTTTAATTCATGAACAATCTGTATGTTGTCTGAATGTTTACTTTTTTGATGATTAAGAAATTTGGAACAAAAAATATTCAAATAAAACGTAATTTACGGATTTCCAGTCCCGTTTTTATTAAATTTTAGACCATTAAATTTATAACCTAGTAAAAATTATAATAAAGTTCACCTTTTAAAAGCCTTAAGTTTGTACAATTGTTTATTTTTTATGTAGAATTACATCGTAAATTCAAAAAAAAAAAAAATTGAGGTCCATGCTTCAGATTCTCGAATTTAGGAGGTAAATAAGACTTCGTTTTTTAAATATAGACCACAAATTAAACGATGCAAGCTTGGAAAATAATTTGACACTAAAAAGTTAGGCCAAAGTTAGAATTATAAGTTAAAATAAAATAAAAGTACCGTGATATAATGTATATATATTTGATATTCATTTAATTGGGATATTTTTTTCCATAATTTTTAATTTAAAAAAGATGAACTGTCGAAAGTATCATATTGTAAGTTACGGCATGACACGGAGATTAAATAAAATGGAAATTAACTCAGATTACTCATTTCGAGTAGGATATTTGAACTTTCTCATGTTCTCTTTTTTATCTGTATCTGTTGACAAATGTATTTCATTAATCTTTTTATTCATTAAACTTTTTTTATTCATTAAACGTATAAAACAACAAAACATAGATCATAAAATAGCTTTGGTAAATGTAACAAAATAAAATATACATTTAATGGTATGCCATTGAAGTGGATTTTCAAATGTTTCAACATTTTATCACAGATAATAATTTCAACCTTCTTTCATGTAGGTCAGAGGCTGAACAAGAACAAAATCACAGCTATGAACACGGAGGGTAGACTTAGTCTGAACACATTGTGGGCGGAGCTAACTGAACACGTGTCACAACAATGAGGCCGGAAGTTATTACACCACCGGTCTGTCACGTTCACTTGTTGTGAACAAAATCCCGGCAGTCTATCACCATAGGGACAGTCTGAAAGTGTAATTGATGTTAAATGGTTTATATTGTTGAAGAAGTTATAAAGCCATTGAATCACATCTGCATATATTTACGATATATTTCAGTTTATGGATAAGGAATTTAAAGCAGTAGACCGAAAATATAAATTTATAAAACATGGAATATAAATACTTCTATAACCTCACCTGGACTGCGGAAACTAAGCATTGCCCTACATGTAGCACAACAATAAGCAGCTATCCTGTTATCATAACACGAATATCGACCTCTCTCTGAAATAAAACTTGGACAACTTTTCCCGTTAATTTCCGCGAAATCAGTACATGTACGAGGTCGATGATCCGAGGGCTTTTCTGTTGGAAAAGGATGCACAGAAAAGTCAGGGGCGGGTGTTGTAGGAATAAGAGTTCCATAGGAGCAGGTTTTACAGCAGTCTGTGAGAACCTTTGGATCCTCCACCATGTTACAGTGGAAATCTTTACAACCTAATACTCTGTCTCCGTACTCACAACCTAACAATAGGAATAACAGATTATGTCAAAAATATTTTGGATATAATTTCTTTTTACTTCAAATTAATTTCAAATGCAATTTGATCGATGCATTTTTCTTAACCTACCAGCAATCCAAGAGAAATGTTTGGCACAAGAGGAACAACAGCGGGCCCGGACCTTATCCTTGTAGCAGTACTGGGGCAGTTCATTTATCAACTCGTCACATGTTTTGTTGATAAAGGCGATGCTAGGTTGATCTCCTAGAAGACAATTCTCTATAACAGAATGAAATAGATTTTATCTATCTATTATAACATATATTTCAATATCTGTCAGAAATAAAAAAAAATCGATGGCATGCTTAAAATATTACCAATAATTTTATTTTAAAAATTCTACAAACCACTGAAAAAAAAAACCCAGAAAAAATGGGATAAATCTCATCACGATAGAGATTTACCCTACACACTTTTAAGATATAAAGAAATATAATTGATGATGTGATCCATACCTTTTTTATTGGCACAGGAATTTCCCCTGGCGGCGGTGTGTTGCACATTTCCGCTGATGGGATCACGACAATACATGACCGTACAGATAGAACCAGCGTCTTTAAACTCGCTACCCTACAAAATAAAATGGAGAAGAAAAATTTAACAAAAAAGTAGTTGAGCTAAAAAAAAAAGGTTATTTTATCGGGTTCGGCATGGATGCCAAACTCCCGAGCCAACATAACACAAGCTTTGGCCTTCAACTCGACCTTTGTAAGTTGTACTACACCCTGGATATTTTATTGTTATCTTATGAAAATATCTTACATTTCTTCAAAAAATAACATTCTGCATATAAAAGAGATATAGACTCGAGTAACTTTTCTTTTTTTTTTTGTCCCAACTTATCAGTTTTTTTACTCAAAATAGCATTATGCTCTTAGATAAGCAATAAACTTTTTTATCATCCCCTTTTCCATAGTAAATTAAATAGAAAATTAAAAGTTAAACAAAATAATTAAAAAGGAAAACAAAGAATAAAGAACAGAGTAACACAAACAAATAAGTAATTCAAATTCTTTTTAGGCTAATTGTTCATAGACCTGAACTGAAATGTAAGACTGCCCAGGGGGAAACAAAGACAAGGGGCCTTGTCCACAGCGCTATCAGACAGTCAAGACAAATCCATTATAAAAAGATGAGAAAGTACATTGACTCTGATTTTTTTTATTCTTGAGAAAAATAAAGTACTTAAAATTTTGAAAGAGAAAGAGAATTAAGGCTAGTGTATAGAGCACCGGTACATATGGAGTGCAAGGTATCATAGTCCTGAATAAAGGTGAGGTACCGAGTGCTCATTGCAATAGGAACTTGGTTTAAGAAATAGGTGCAGGGACTCTGTCATAGTACCCTGTTTCAAATAACCTTGGCTTGTGTATCCAGTTATTTATGTAGAAAAAAAATGACAAGAATCCCATAAAACAATTAATAACAATTGTTGTAAATAATATTAATTCCTTGTATTGATTATATGCTTAGATAAAGCTACAAGAAAATTTCATTTATACTTTTTAGGTCACCTTAGTAAACTCAAATGTTCAATAAACTAAGCACATATTTATGTTAAATAAGGCTACCTCTTACAAAATTGATTGTGAATATCATGGTCCAAGGGGTTCTGGAGTAAGTGTGGGGCTCTATTGATTATATAGTGAAAATACATTAAATCTTTAAACATCTTCTACTCTGCTCCTGGGTATTAGATAAACTAACTAAGTAGATAGTTATGATGAGCAAGAATACCTCTCTTGAAATTGTGAATTTTATGGCCCCAGGGTAAGGAGTTCTGGGGTTTGGACGGGGCTCTATTGGATATATAGTAAAAAAGCATCAACTCTTTGAAAATCTTCTTCTATTTCACTGGTTATTAAATAGACTAACCAAGTGCATAGTTATGGTGAGCAAGAAAGTATCTTCTAAAATTGAAAATTTTATTGCCCCAGTGTCAAGGGTTCTAGTGTTAGGGTTGGACTCTATTGATTTCTTAGGAAAAAGCATGAATTCTTTGAAAATCTTCTCTGACCACCTTGGTATTCAAACTAAGTACCTAGCTATGACGAGCAATAACGCCTCCTCCAAATTTATGAATTTATGCTCCCTGGATTGAGGGTTTTGGAGTAATTACGGGGCCCTATTGATTATATAGTAAAAATACATTATTTCTTTTAAAATCTCCTCCTCTGCTCCTGGGAATTAAACCAATAAACTATGTACATTATTATGATGAGAAAGGATGTCTCTTTCAAATCTGTGAATTTCAGGACCTAGTTTAAATATTCTGGTGTTAGGGCGGGGCTCTCATGATTATATAGTGAAAATGCATGAATTCTTTGGAAATCTTTTTTCATTGCTCTTGGATATTATGCCAAGGATCAAAGTAAATATCAAGCATGAAGAAAGGTGCTTCTTCCATTTTTTTTTATTTTCAGGGCCCTTGATCAGGGGTACTGGGGGTAACATAGTCTGAAAATGATTTTGAAATATGTGGCCCCAGGGTCAGTGGTGCACAGCTGATTATAAAAAGAATGCATTTCCTCTTTGTTTAAGCTATTGGACATTTTTATAAAGTAATAGTCAGTGTGTTTTATCTATACTTTCTGATTAAGAAGATCTGCATATGAGAAATATTTATACTATTATACAGGTTGCATGAAACATCTTACAGAACATGTTCTTTGTATCATCGAATATGCATTAACTTTATCAATTTGAAAATATGTTTAAAATATGCAAGCTTTCGGCTCTGTAATTGAATTCATTTCTAGCATTGAAAGAAAAAAAAACACACAAAAAAAACCCAATCATAATGAAAATATTTGGAGATAACGGACAGAGTTCAAGCTCAAATGTCCATTAAACAACGAAAAGTAGGAACAGAGCATACACATGCCTCAAAACAAACACCAGAGGTGAGACCAGATGCAATGATAAAGTCAGCATCCCCCGCCGACCTGTCATGTCCGTCTTGTGCTCCTTGTCATGTTGAGAAATAGCGGAAAAATCCGTCCTCAATTCATAGACTAACTTCTTATAATAATGTCAGTCAACATTTGACCGATTGATTAATTTTATTTGCTGACCAGGGCATACTCACGCCTCATTGGCAACTTATACCATCACTGATGTTTAGGAGGCCAGTGTTTGCTCTGCTCCTATTTTGTATTGTTTTATTAACTTTTGATCTTAAATTCTGTTCTCTTATCTCAAGCTCACCAGGATATATATATCGTATCGACATGATAATTGAAATTATGTCATGTTAAAGGCCACAGCAATTGTTTTCCTCTTTTGACGCATAAGATTTTGCACAAATTCCGTCTCCTATGAATATTGAAATAGGTCTGCTAATAACAGGACGCAATTGGTACTCATGGTAATTCCAACAGATTGTTGGAAGATCTTGTTTCAAAAAACAACATACATGTAGATATTGTTAATCAGAAACTCAAGCATCTTTTTGCTATCAAATTTAAAGTATTTGTGTGTATAATTAGAATGTTTTTAAACAAAATAATATTGCAAAATACCAGTGACAAGGATAGTAAATTTACGTGGTCCATTTTAATTGATATGATATCGCAAAGCCTGGATTTATGGAAATGGTTTTACATAAAGTTGAAAAGTATGTTTTTTAGCTGTTTATTTTGTAAAATCTTGTAATTTCCAATTATCTAAGATTTCTTTAGAATTTTTTAAGTATTAACATATGATTTTACGCAACTTTTTGATTAATGTTTTATTGACGTTTCCCCTTCACTGTGGTTAATATCTTGATGAGGAGTAAAGCAAGAGGCTTGTTTGGACATTTTACTGGGACCTGCTACATGTACTTATCATTGTTTGTAAGTATTCTTATGAATTTTCGGAATCCAAAATGTAAATGGTAGTTCAAATTCATTTGGGTGGATTAATAAAAATATTCCAAACGGACATATGATTTTCAAGAATTTTAAAGAATTTCTTCTTAAACGCCAATCATATGAGAGAATTTGCATACCTCAGTATATTTTACTCATATGTAAATTTACTAACATGCGCAATTTTTGTCGAATGAACTGATTTGCTCATATGCAAATTCTGCACAGTTGAGTAAATTTACACCTAGTCAGGACATGGTGCAAATTAACTTTTGTATACATGTTGTCGCAAATATTTAGTTCATGCTTGTACATTTTTGTCGTATAAACATGCAGCAAATTTACTTATTGTCTTATGTATGTGTTTTAGTTTGTTTATTGTATAAATCTCCATTTTGAGTATAGTTTCCTTTCTGTATGCATTGTTGTGTTTAAAATATCAGTCTGTAAACATAGCGACTAGAAAGCAAAACTCTAAAAAAAAAAAAAAAAAAAAAAAAAAACGTGGATTGCTGTTCTTCAACGACAATTAAAAGAAAATTGAGTTTTGATAAGGGTTCTACTTTAAAGTCTACGCTGGGTTGCACTAGCATAATACCAAAATTGCTTTCAACTCTAAAAACATGGATCCATACATCTTCAGTCTCCTTTGAGAAAAATTTGAATTTGAAAGAACGCACGCATCTTGCACCCTTTCTGGCAAACCTATGCTTATCCCTCTAAATGATAAAAATATAAATAGTTCGCTTACTATTCAAGCAGCTACAGTCTGTATTGGAATGCTCCGAGCTATGATAGGAATATGAATTGCATTAATCCCCCGGGCACCATTATAGAAGGATATGGAGATAACGTACAGTATTCAATATTAAAGTCCATAACACAATACAAAATAAGAGCAGAGCAAACAACACACTGACCTCCAAAACATCAGAAATGGGATCAGATGCCATTGAGGAGTAAGCACAAAGAAGCTCTTGCTGACTTTCTTCTACCTTTCGCAGTTTATAAACCAAGGCAAGATATTGACATATAAACTGATGTTATAGGAATTCCAACAACCCTGCGGAAAGTAAACATTCTTAAATATCTTCCTTGACATCTGATCCTACTATAAATTTCTAGGGGATTCGTGTTTATTTACTATTCACATATTTGTTATGTTTTGTTTGAAGAATTTTTAGATCGATCACCCATTTCATTCTCTTGGAAAATACATATTTTCAGAAACTACATATTTACCTCGCAAACTTGATGAACTGTAGATTTACACGCACCAACTATATTTCCAGGCGCCCTTTATTCTGCTGAAGACGCCAACCAAAAGATGGCATCATGTGTCATTTTTTTCTTCTTTAGGACCGGGACCAAAGATTTCTCCAACTTTAAACAATGATTTTAATAACTTTTTCTTCTCCATGTGTATTTTTTTCCTAAAAGTTATCAAATTGTTGTTTTTTTTTCGTAACAAAAAATAAGTGTATCAGAAACACCCCCTCCTAGTTCTTTGAGGAACATTAAACAGTTAGTCTGATATATACTCAAATACATGTAATAACGAAATAACCTTTTTCTTTAAAAAATCCGCACTTCTAAATCTATGTATCTCCTTATTTTAAATGAAAATATAAGGATTTACGTACAGTGCATAATTCTCGTCCGAACGCATAGCAAATTAATCTTTACTTATGCGTGTAGATTTACTTACGAGGGGTGATCTAAAAGTTCGCGAACTAATTGAATAACTTACATAAAACATATTTTGTTTCAGTGTTGATTATATTTCAAATTTGTCCTCTCCGATTTTAATACACATCTGTCACCGTTCTGATCATGCGCAATAACGTGATATAGGCGGTCACGTTTGTAGCGTTCTGTCACAAAAGCTGAAAGATTTTTCTGACTTTTATATTTATTTACATGTAAGTTAATTTTAAAAACAAGAACAGTTAATTTTTCAGAAATGTTCAAATCTTAACAAAATTAGTTGATAAGAATATCTTTTTCAAAAACAAGCATGGCGACCATCAAAACCCAAATCTTCCGTCTCGGGAGAGACGTTTATTCAAGGTGGATAGAGAATGGGTGCCTCCTTTTTATCATATCTTAAATGTTTAAAATCTAAAGTAGACGATGTCTTAGGTATTTGATAATTTTATTATTGTTGAAATATTCAACTATTTTTCAAATTGTAAATTGGAGGTCTTTGATAGCAAATTACTCAATTAAAAACACATCTCTTTTCAAACTTTCTTTCACTGGGCAACATAACATCATTTTTAACCATTTGCATTCTTTCACTAAAACGGTCAATCCAATCATTGATTGAATTTATAGCAAGTCATTTGTCTTAATAAACTGTGTACAAATTATTATACGCTACTTGAAAGGTATTTCTAAGATATACCAAACATTTTACAGTCGTTTGTTGAAGAAGTTCGACTGAGATAACCATTTTTCGCCTCAAGTGACCTGCATAGTGACGTCA